TCCTTCATACACTCTCTCTCTCTCTCTCCCTTACGGATCTAATCTTCTCTCTCTCTTGTTCTTCACACTTATTCTCCACTAAACTTACATTATTTTGCTGAGAGGATTCAATCACAAGTTGATTGTCTCTTCCATTATTAAAAAGTGAGTTCATGTTCTAAGCTATTCTTAGCTTTTCCAACAATATGCGCATAACGGGGTTCATCAAGGTGATAAGTTTGCTCCGAGAAGTAGAAGATGTGCATTTTTGGGTTATCCTACGGGGAAGAAAGGATGGCTGCTCTATGACCTTGACAAAAAGATTGTGTTTACTTCCAGAGATGTGGTATTCTGCGAAGATAAATTTCCATTTGCAACGTCTTCTGAGGCATACCCGCTGGATGTTCACACGCCATTACCAGAGCAAGGCGAAGTATCTTTTGATGACTCTGAGTCAGATATAAGTATTGCAGGAGGAGATCAGATTGTCACTGAGACGCCGGAGCAAGAGATTGATCATCAGGTCATAACGCAGGCTCCAACTTTGGAGACTCCACTGCAAGTTGGCGACACAACGGCACCAGCTACACATGAAGAGTTACCTGTTGTTGTAGAAGAACAATTAGGGCGTGGTCACCGTCCAAAGATCCCATCGTCAAGACTGCGAGATTATGTGGTCAATACAGTTACCGTTGATAGTCCTCCCTCTCTCTCATCATCATCTTCACCCTCTCCACAGCAGCCCTCAGGTTCATTATATCCTATCTCTAATTTTGTCTCATGTGAGAATTCTTTTGTTGCACACTGCAGTTTCTTGGTCTCGATTATGGCCAATGATATACCAAAGTCATTTCGTGAATCCATGCTTGACAAACTATGGCGTGATGCAATGGGGACTGAGATACACGCCTTAGAGGAGCAACACACATGGGATCTTCAGCACCTTCCGCCTAACAAGAAAGCTTTGGACAGTAAATGGGTCTACACCATCAAATACATATCAGATGGATCGGTTGAAAGACCGAAAGCGAGATTAGTTATCTGTGGAAATAGACAGAAAGAAGGAATCGATTACACAGAAACATTCGCTCCAGTTGCAAAGATGACGACGGTTCGTGTCTTCTTGGATTATGCAGTTAAGATGAACCATGAGATGCATCAAATGGATGTTCACAATGCATTTTTGCATGGGGATCTTCAAGAGGAAGTTTACATGAAAATTCCGCAAGGGTTTTCTTCTCCGAATGAGACTAGGGTGTGTCGGTTAAGAAAGTCTTTATATGGGCTAAAGCAGGCTCCTCGCTGCTGGTTTGCTAAGTTGAGAGATGCACTTCTTACGTATGGATTTACTCAGACGAGATCGGATTATTCTCTTTTTATATATTCGAAGAAATGGAGTTTCTCTTCGTATCTTAGCTTATGTTGATGATTTGATTCGGGGAGTACTAAAGCTGATATTCAGCTTCTCAAAGACTACCTCTCCACATGTTTTCATATGAAAGATCTCGGTTTGCTTAAGTATTTTTTGGGTATTGAA